CGGCCCCCGAACTCCGTGGGGAACCTGGCGGTCAAAGGTGGCTCCTGTCAGCGCAGCTGCCGCAGCTCAGCTGGTCACCGTGAAAGCCCGGCCACACGACCCTGCAGCTGCCGCCGGCCTCCAGCTGCCCCCGGTAGGTGGGCCCGGGGTGGGTGGCCCCGGGGTAGGTGGGGTCCCGGGTAGGTGGGTCCCCCCTCGGCCCGCGGGGACTCGGGTCGTCGGGGCCCCGGGTGGCGCCCCCTGGGGGGCAGCTGACAGGAAGCCCAGCCGCACGGTGGCTCTGCGGGCGGGAGCCCCTGGAGTCCCCCCCGCAGCTGGGCTCCCCGTCACCCGAGAGGCTTCCACTCAGCGACCCCTGAAGCGGGGGCAGCGCGTCTGGAGGCCCCGAGCGCTGGCTGCTGCCCGGGCAGGGCCGCGTGCGTTTTGCGGGGAAAGGGTCCCTGACACCCACCCGCGTGCCCGTTAGACGCTCCTGGGTGTTGGGACGGAGGAGGGCTGTGCACTGACCTGCAGGCGAGCGTCCTGCTCCCGGGCGCCGGGGGTGACGATGCTGGCTGTGCGGGTCCGGGACGTGCGGTTCCCCCACTTGCCCTCAGAGCCGCGTCTGGTCTGACAGCGGAGCGTGCGCGGCGGGAGGGGCGATGCGCCTTCTCCCCAGGCTGCTGTGGGGCTGCTCCCCATGGTCTGTGCAAAGGTTTTGCTCCGACCAGTTACATATTGTAAATACGACCAAGGGTATTTGAGCGGTTACCTGCTTTCCTCGGCGGAAAAGCTCTTGGAATTTCGGGGCGGGGGCAGCGCATTTCCCATTCTTTGCATGAACTCTTCTGTGAATTTTGCTCAGCGGAATGGGGGCTCTGCCAGGCCAAGGTGGCAAAGAAGTCCCAGCATTTGATTTCAAGGGTTTCAGCGCCTCCCCCAGCGAAACGATGGGGTCTCTTTTGTAGCCAGTGTTCTGTTTGGTGGTGACCATCGTGGAAAGGTGATGATCTTCACTTCTGATGGAGTTCTGTTTCGGTTTTGTCTGGGACACGGGGACGTGCACTAGTTAAGCTGTGTGCGTCACTGGATACAGTTCCTTCTCGTTCTAATGATCCTGCACGCATTCTTATGAAGAGGTGAGGAATGTGTTTGAATGAAATCACCGCCTAAAGCTAAACGGCTGTGTAGTCAGTGAAGTTTGTTTAGAAGCAATTTTAAAAAGTATGGAAATGGGAGAACTTTCACGAGTGAAAACTTGCTAAGCGGGAACTGATCACTGATTGAGCGTGTACTGGTCACCTAGGGAGGGCTACGCACTTTCTATGCATTGTTTATATTCTTTTGTGTGTTGGTCATAATAGGTAGCAAGTAACCATTCTCTAAGGGTAATTTGCCCCGTGCAAAACTCATAGGTGTGTGTGTGTGTGGGGGGGGGATTTGAATCCAGATCTGTTTTGCTGTCCTCTCTCCACAACACTGTGCTTGCCACTTGGTGTGTGCGCACAGTTATGTCTCATTGCGTATCGGGGATAAAGGTGATTTACAGAGTTTTAGAGCCTGACCTTCTCATACACTGAACTTGCCAGCGCTAGGTAGCAGCAAACCCGGCCAGAGCCTAAGGGTGTGGCACCGACACCTGTATGCTGTGGCCTGAAGAAGCTCCTGGGAGGAGATGAATTGCCTTTATGGTTGGTGTTCAGCTCCAGAGGGGGTGGGCGGGGCTTCTGCGGGGCAGCTGGTGGGGATTCTTGTCGATGTGCGGCAGGAGAGCATGCTGACCTTGTGTTCTCATCCGTGCAGAAGAAGGTAACCAAGAGCTGAATGAAATGGAGACACTAATGTTTTTGCAAGGTTATGATTCTTGTACCATTTCTTTTACATACTGAGCATTAGCAATTGATGACTCAAGGATGATTTCCTTAATTTTTTACAGAAGTCTTATACTTTAAGGGTAGTATAGTGGGACCTGGGTTTTCGAACTTAATCCGTTCGTTCCAGGAGGCGATTTTTTTGAAGACTGAATTATTTTTCCCCCCATAATGCTTCCCTGTTTTAGCCTTTCTCATATACATGTACACGTCTAATGTGCTGTTTAATCTATAAAGAAACACTTCTTAAATTTATCAAAGTAACCCCCACTAGCCTTAAACAAAATTTTCATATCTCACTGCCTCTGAAATGCTACCACCGACAGCATTGGCTGAACTGCTTTTAGTTTACCCAACTCCAGTCAACAACAGTTTTTCTACCTATTCAATTGCCTGCGATTGTTGTTTGGTGAGCATCTTCGCAGCCTAAGCAACATTAGCACTCGTAATAGCCTCTTTATGTTTTAAAATTGTGCTAATCCTGATTTCACCAGCAACAAAAGCATTTTCTCCTTTGTTGGCTGAGAGATGCTTTTTGTCATGCTGAGGTATAAGCATGAAAGGGTTGTCTGGTCGAAAACTGAAGTTTTGGTTGACAACTGACACATTTTTTCTGTGAACAACTTGGTTGAGAACTGAATTGTTGGAGAAATGAGATTTGATGATATACTTTAAGTATTTGATTTCTCTTTAGAATTTCCTCTGTGATCAGAACTGGTTTAAATAATATGTAAATATGGGAAGATCCAAGGTGGCAGCAGACTAGGTGGAAGCTACATTCACCTCCTCCCAGGACCAACCTGAATTACAACTAAAGTCTAGAAAAACCATCCTGAATAACCATCTGAAGAGCAGCTGGAGAGAAGCCTTGTAACCAAGGACTGACAGAGGCCACGTTGGGAATGTTATCTACCGTAGCCAGGACTGGAAGCAGCCAGAGTCCCTCAGTACACGAGTGCATAACATAACTATGCTCCACTTACACATGGAGTAAATACCACTCGCCATAAACAGGAAGATAATCTTACCCTTCGTGAAAGCATGGATGGACATGGAGAACAGTATGCTAAGTGAAACCAGCTAGTTGGAGAACGACAAATACCATATGATTTTGCTCACGTGGAATCTAATTGAACTAACAGTCAAAATTGAGACAGACTCAGAGAGAATGGGCAGACGGCTCTGGTGAGGGGTGGGGGAGAGTGTTGGTGGGGAATCCTTTCCAGGAGATTTTCAATTTACTTTGCCCAGATCTGTCGGAGGAATCACTATCTATGGCCGCTATAGCCTATCTATGGCCGCTATAGCCTATCTATGGCACTAGCTATCGCCTTACAAAATACATTCTTTACTAAATAATAAGACTTGAAAGTTGGAATTACTCCTTGATCCATGGGCTACAGAAGGGAAGTTGGGTTAGCAGGCACAAAAACAACATTAATCTCATTGTGCATCTCCCCCAGGGCTCTTGGGTGACCAGGAGCTTGTCAATGAGCAGTAATTCTTTTGAAAGGCGTCTTTTCTGAGAAGTAGGTTTTAAGAGTTGGTTCAATGTATTCAGTAAACCATGTTTAACACTTGTGCTGTCACCCAGGCTTTTTGTTCTGCAGAGTAGATTTAGCATAATGCTTAAGGGCCCTACGTTTTTTGGGATGGTAAATCCGTAGTATTGGCTTCACCTTAAAGTCACTAGCTGCATTCGCCCCTAAGAAGGGAGTCAGCCTGTCCTTTGAAGAGTTGAAACCAGGCATTGACTTCTGTCCAGCTGTGAAAGTCCTAGGTGGCATCTTCTTTCAAAGTAAGGCCGTTTTATCGTTTTATCGACATTGCACACCTCTTTCACCTGAACCACCTTCATTAATTGTCTTAGCTAGATCTCTTCTCCGTTTGTTCTGGAGACCGCTCCTTTTTTAAGCCTCAGGAACCAACCTCTGCTCGCTTCAGACTTTTCGTCTGCAGCTTCCTCACTTCTCTCGGCCTTCTTAGAGAGAAAAGGGTTAGGGCCTTACTCTGGACTAGGTTTCCGCTAAAGAGAATGGTGTGACTGGTTTGACTTAATACCCAGACCACTAAAACTTTCTTCTTCCTTATGATTCATGTGTTCACTGGAGTAGTATTTTTAATTTTCTTCAAGGGTTTTTCCTTTGCATTATTAACTGTTTGGTGCACGAAGCCTAATTTTCAGCTTGTCTCAGCTTTTGACCTGCCTTTCTCTTAATCATTTCTAGCTTTTGATTTAAAGAGAGAGATGAGGGACTCTTTCTTTCACTTGAACAGTGAGAGACCATTGTAGGGTTAATATTAATAACTATTAATTTCAATGTTGTTGTGTCTTGGGGAAAGGGATAGAGATGGGGAAATTGTTTGCTGATTAGTGGAGTAGTTAGAACACACGGCATTGATTGAGTTTGCTATCTTTATCTAATATGGGCATTGTTGTGGCACCCCAAAACAATTACAGGAAATTAAAGATTACTACTGATCACAGAGCATCATAATAAATATAATCATGAAAAATTTTGAAATATCACGAGAATTACCAAAATATGACAGAGACATGAAATGAGCAAATGCTTTTAGACTTATTAATTTTTGCCTATCTGGTAAATGGAAGTTGATATCTCACTGTGGTCTTAATTTACCTTTCCCTGTCATTGGCATCTGTTATTTTGGACATTCGTCCTTTTAATATATGTGCACTAAAAATTTCTCTCATCTTGTGGTTTGTCTTTTTACCTGGTGGTCTTTTGCTAAACAAAAGCTCTTTTGATATAGTCGGATGTATCAAACATTATATAGTTAAATTCTTAGTCCAAGTTAAGAATGATAATTTTCTACATTAAGAGTTTAAAAGGTTTTCCTTTTTTACCCTTGAGTGGTTTTTGTGGATGGTGTGAAGCTTTGCGTCTTTTCCATGTAGATAGCGCATGGACCTAGTCCTGTTTATTGAATAGTCGGTCTCTTTTCCTCACTGATCTGCAGGGCCTCTTAGGAAAATTAGATATTACATAACTATATGAGTCCATTTTGGGCTTCTCTGTTTTGTTCCATTGGTCAGTTTGTATAGTCTTACCATGCTTTCTTACTCATGGCATCTTACTGTAGCTTTATAGTTTCATGTCATGAAGAAAAAAGTGTTTTTGCCTCCTCCAGAAAGGTTTCAGCCATATACTTAGACTTTTAAGTAGGTTTGAGTAAAAACATTTTTATATTTTATGTAACTAGAGGTTCGGTGCACAAAATTTGTGCACGGGTTGGGTCCCTAGGCCTGGCCAGTGACCAATTGGGGCCTTCCTGCCACTGGCCAGGGCCTGCCGGACAGGGGTGGGGGAGGGACCACAGGAGGTTGGCTGGCCTGGGGAGGGACCAGGGGAGGTTGGGCGGCTGTGGGAGTGCACTGACCACCAGGGGGCAGCTCCTGTGTTGAGCATCTGCCCCCTGGTGGTCAGTGTGTGTCATAGCGATTGGTCGTTCCTGTCGTTGTTCCAGCATTCCAGTTGCTTAGGTTTTTACATATAGAGACTAGTAGATATGGAATTCAGTATGTACTAATCACTTTTTCAGACCATTCACATTACTGAAAGAAATAGGAGAAGAAATAGCTGATAATTATGCTTCATTTATCAGCTACATCAATTTTTTTTTTCTTTTTCAATATAGGAACAGTTTTGATCAAAAGTAACAGTGGTCAGTTGATGTTGGTATCTCCTCAGCAACCTGTAACAAGAGCCGAGACTACAAGTACCATAATTTCAAGACCGGCGCTACCAACGAATCCTCAAACAGTCAAAATCTGTGCAATGCCGGTAACGTACCTTAACTCTTTTTTTCTTTTTTCATTTTCTTTAATTTATCAAGTATCTTGGTTTTGTCATTTGCTGATTGCTAAAACAATAAAAATTCAGTCTTCATACTCAAAGATTTTGTAGTCCTTAAGGGACTGTTCAAAGGGCTGTTTGTATCTTTAAATGGAAAGAAAGCCATTCTGCTTCAATTTTAATTTATAGCAAAATATTAAGACTACAGTTTAGTATTCACTTTTATCCGTAGCTTATAGAAATTACCTTTAAGAAATTCAGAACTTTAATGCA